CCCCAAAACCCCAAAACCCCAAAACCCCAAAACCCCATAAATATTCGGTAGAGTTGAAATTAAAATAAATGGATTCCAAGATAGGTATTTTTAGTCTAAATTATTAGCTTCTGAAAGTGGCTTGATCCAAAGTTTTGAGATCAATCATCCTGAGGAAAAACAAGAAATTGATAATAGTATCACGATGAGCCAAGCCTTGAAGAATATCTTCTTAAATTACATCCCTAGTGCTCTTACGATGTATATTGAGTATTCAGTAACATTTCTGAATGTGCTTTTCATCAGTCTTTTAGATGATCCAGTTCTTGTATCTGGCTGTGGTCTGGGGCTCTTTTTGGTGACCAATGTAATCTTCACATGGAATGTAGGCCTCTGCGGAGGGATAGACACTCTTGTCTCTCAGGCCTTTGGAAGAAAGGATTATAAATTATGTGGGACATACTTAAACACTTCAAAAATATTATTCTGCATTTTGGCAATTCCCCAAGCTTTAATTCTTTTTAAATCGAGGAGTATCTTGGCTCTCTTTGGTCAACCTGAGGATGCATCTATTGTTGCTCAAAAGTATGCAAGCGTTGTTATGTTTGGGATGTTTCTCAATATGCAGTTCGAGGCAACAAGAAGGTTCTTAATAGCACAAGGGATCTTCAGGCCGGTATTATACACTCTAACATTCACAACTATTTTTCATATAATAGGATTGTACATCACTGTCCTTCACTTAGGATGGGAAATTAATGGTAAATTCTAGATTTTAAACTTCATGTTTTCGTGGATACTAATTATTTTTATAGGTGTAGGGCTAGTGACGGTGTGCACATTTATCCTTAACTACTCGATAATCCTTGTCTATGTCAATATCAAGCAGAAAAGGGTTTTATCCAATGAATGGTTCTTTATGGATAAAGAAGCTTTAAGAGCAATCCCTGAATTTTTGAAATATGGAATTCCAGCGGCTCTAATGATGATGATCGAAGTTTTAGGGTAAGCTGTTGACTGTTTAAAGAGGATTAATGATCACTTTAGGTATGATATGCAGACTATTTTTGCAGGATGGCTAGGATCAAGCCAACAAGCAGCCAATATAATAATGTTCCAGATCTGGATTTTAATATTTATGAATTCATTAGGAGTTACTTATTGCTCAACAAGTCTTGTTGGAAATTCTCTTGGAGGAAATAAACCAGAGGCTGCGAAGACATATTCTGAAGCTACTTTCATCTTTGGGTTTTCAACTACCTTTGTGCTTGCATTAATTTATTACATCTTTAGACATGCTATTATTGGAGCATTTACATCAAACCAAGAGGTTACGTACCATATTATGGACTGCTTTTCATTATATTTGATAGCACTTTTCTCTGATTGTGGACAAGGTTTCGGTCAAGGAATCATCAGAGCAGCAGGATATCAGAAATTAGCTTCCTGTGTCCAACTGGTATCATTATGGGCTGTATTAGTTCCCTTAGCATATGTCCTTGCCTTTGTATTTGATTTTGGCTTCAAAGGAATTTGGATAGCAACTCCTATTTCAGCTACAATGTTAATGATTGGATACATCGGAATCATTTTCTGTATTCCATGGACCAAGCTTGCTGAGGAAGTATCAAAGAAGAGGTCAACGGACTCAAACGATTCAGAAGGGGAATCAGCTCAGAGTCTCCTCTAAAACTCACTAAAAACGCTCAAAACCCATAATTTTCAACATTCGACCAAATTGTAGGGGTTTTGGGGTTTTGGGGTTTTGGGGTTTTGGGG